TCTATCTATCTATCTATCTATCTATCTATCTATCTATCTATCTATCTAAAATATTTTTATCCTGCCTTTCTCCTTGAAAGGGATGCAAGGTGGCTTACAACAGTGAAAGACAACATTTAAAGTTGAAAACAATGAGTATACAACAGTGGATAACATGATTACCCTGTTTCCCTGAAAATAAGACCTAGTATGATTTTTCAGGATGCTCATAATATAAGCCCTACCCCCAAAATAAGCCCCAGTTAAGTGAAACCCCACCCTCCACCCTTGTGCAGCAACCAGAAGAAGATGACATGACTGTAAAATAAAACGTCCCCTGAAAATAAGCCCTCATGCGTTTTTGGAGCAAAAATTAATATAAGACCCTTTCTTATTTTTGGGGAAACACGGTAAAAAGACAATATTTAAAACTAAGAACAAAGAATAAAGAGCATCTTACATCATTAAAAGGCAATATTGAAGCTAAGAACAATAAGTATACAGTATAAAAAAATCCAGTGCCACTCTGAGAAATGGAAAACACAAGTAGTACTAAAAACCCAATAAAAGTAGTAATGCATATCAATCCATCTAAAAAATCTTACTGAGGGAAGGCTTGCCTGAAGAGAAAGGTCTTTGCCTGCTTGCAGAAGGTCAGCAAAGATGGGGCCAGCCTGGCTCCCTGTGGGAAGGAGTTCCAAAATATGGGAACAGCAACAGAGAAGGCCCTCTCCAGTGCTCTAGCCCAGCGATGGCGAACCTATGGCATGCGTGCCAGAGCTGGCATGCGGAGCCCTTTCTCCCAGCACGTGAGCCACCGGTCACCAGATCGCTTCTCCTCCACCCCCCACGTAGCCAAATCTCAGGAGGCGGGTGCAGCTGGTGCTGGCGCTTCGGCAGGCAGATCCTGACCAATTGATGCGCAGCGGAGGGGGCTTGAGGCACCTCTTTGCTGCGATTGTGGGTCCTCCAGGTCCGCTGCCATGGTTCCCCCTTCCACTACCACTTCCGGTTCTGGTTCTGCACTTCTGGGTCTTGGTCCGCTGCCACCACAATAGCAGCGTTGGCAGGACACCACCCGCTATTTTTGGGTTTTTTCCTCCCAGTTTGGGCACACAAGCCCAAAAATGTTCCCCACACCACTGCTCTAGCCACTGGCACAACACTGACCACCATTATGTAGTCTTACGTAGTCTTGCATGCTCCAGTGATTGGGTAAAACCCACCTGAAAAATTATGCCAATATTACTACTCCATCATCATAAATTTCACTATAAATTGCCTCAAGTTAACAAATCAGCATAGGCAAGATGAGTCATGTGACAGGTGCGTGTAGGGTTGCCGGATACATGGGTACCAAAAGGAAGACATAGAAAGACAAAAGAAGAGGACAGAAGAGGACGTAGTGAATGTTTCATTTGAATCACTCCGGATTAAACCCACAATCAATACAATTTTCTTACAATAGCTGTCAATAAATGTCTCTTCGCGAACCAACAAAGAAACAGTCCTGTTAAAAAATAAAAATAAATATTATATAACCAAGTCTCTTCGTGAACCAACAAAGAAACAGTCATGTTAAAAAAATAAAAATAAATATTATATAACCAACAAAGTTAAAATAGAGCAACTGCTATTTTTAGGCTGCCAGCTTGCACAAAAATATATTCCTTTAAAAATACAGTATCCCTGCTTAGACACTCCAGAAATTGCTCTATAGTCCTCCATTAGCAGATTCTGGAAAAAAATGTTATTGAACCAACAAAGAAACAGTCATGTTAAAAAAATAAAAATAAATATTATATAACCAACAAAGTTAAAATAGAGCAACTGCTATTTTTAGGCTGCCAGCTTGCACAAAAATATATTCCTTTAAAAATACAGTATCCCTGCTTAGACACTCCAGAAATTGCTCTATAGTCCTCCATTAGCAGATTCTGGAAAAAAATGTTATTTGTTTACTTTAATGTTGCTTAGACACTCCAGAAGTTGCTCTATAGTCCTTCATTAGCAGATTCTGGAAAAAATGTTATTTGTTTACTTTAATGTTGGCATAACGAGTGTTGGATTTCAATGCCATCTGAAAGGCCAGAGGTTCCCAAGCTCTGAAAGACACCCTTCTCTTCAGATGGCTTTTGTTCACGACGGCTGCTGCTGAAGGAGGAAGCCCAACTCTAAAGAATGTCGCTGCCCCTCCCCATTTCTTACCTGACCTGAGCAACTGGTATCAGCCTCCTTCCTAGCCACTCGGGAGACAACGAATGAAACAGGCACCCTGTGATTACAGGACTTCTGCCTGTTTTTTTTTTAAAAAAAAACTATGGTGTGATTCCGTGATGGGTTCACTTCTGCCCTTACAAAATAATTCTTCATAATGGTGTCCCCTTAGTTCTAAACAATCTGCTTTTCTTCAGATAAGACGAAGAGGAGGAGGAGGACGAGGAGGAAGGCCATGTGGAAAAAAGCCGGACATTTTAAAGGTTTTCAGCTTTGCCTGCCAGAAGGAGGACATTAGGCTAAAAAGGTGGACATGTTCTCCTTTTGCCGGATGTCTGGCAACCCTAGGTGTGTGGCACTAGATGCCAGCACTGACTTCCTAACTTGCATCGGTGCTGATGGTGGTACTGGCAGGCATAAATAAGAGGATTCTAAAAGTATATTCTGTTAGTGAGTTCTGGTTTCAAAGTGAAACCTCAATCTATGAGGGTTATATGTACATATATCCTATCTTGTCTCCTAAATGTTTGGTGTGGTAAAGAGAGAAAATAATGTGCAACCTTCTCAAAAACATGTTTCTGTCAAACTAGATTCATTTGCTGCTTCTTATTCTCTCCCATCCACCCCCATTCCCTAGAGATTTGCTTCCCTTCACACTAAGACTGCCACAAGCAATATTGGAAGCCAGGAGTGTTACAGACCTAGAAATCATCTCTAGCCTGGGGATAGGTAAGTTGTGTGGAAAACATCTTCCTAAAAACTCTCGTGGTAGTGTCTTGCCTAGAAGAGATTTTATGTTTGTTAGCAATGCTTTCTGCAAGCATAAACATTTTCCAGACCAAGCTGCCATTGCAACCCCAGCTGCTTCTGAATAGGAAAGCTACTTCAGTTCATACAAATGAGGAATACTTGTAGGTGAGTTTACATTATGTGGCTTGGTGGCCCACTTTACAAAAGTATATGAAGGGCTGAAACTACACTTCCCAGAAAATGATGAAACCCACAGCAATCTCTGTTATAGCACAAAACTGCTGGAATAACTCAGTGTTTAGGTATCTGGCCACAGAGCCACAGTTTGGGAGTTTGACTCCCCAGTGTGCCTCATTGACAGGGGCTGGACTCAATGATATATAGGGTTCCTTCTAGCTCTGCAGTTCTATGATTATGCTGATTGTTAAAATGCGAGCTATTTTGGTTCAAAATGGTGGCCAAACTGGTTCTTTCCTGCAGTGGTGTATTTTATTTTATTGTTCAGAGATATACTGCAGTTTCAGGAAGCACACAGCCACCCTTTTTTTCTCAATCTGTCGTCTGTCCATCCCTTCCCCACTCCCTACTCCTGTTTTCCACCCCCTTGTTTTCCACCAATTCCTTTCTTCTAACCTGTCTTTAAAATTGCATATTTAAACATTTGTGATCATGGAAGGATGTTTGTATGTGTGTGTGTGGGGGGGAATGAAGCATTACATTCTGGTCATGTGATGTCACACTCAGCTTCTGACATGCCCAGGATGGCCAATGTGCACACCCACTCACACCACAGCATTTTTTATTTTATTGATTGATTGATTAATTGATTGATTGATTGATTGATTGCATTTATATCCCGCCTATCTAGTCAACGACCACTCTAGGTGGCTTCCAACACATAAAACAACAATCAGTATAAACGAATTATCCAAAAGGAAAAAGGGAAAAAAGAAAAGCAAAAAAATTATCAGGTATTAACTGGAGGGAAGGCCTGCATAAACATCCAAGTTTTCAGTTGTTTATAAATATGCCCAGCGAAGCAGCCACACGAATCTCCGGAGGGAGGTTATTCTAGAGGCAAGGAGCCACTGCCGAGAAGGCCCGGTTTTTAGTTTTTTCCTTCCAAGCCTCCCTCGGCGTCAGGCTCCTCAGCCTCATCTCTTGACTCGATTGGGTAGATTTTGGTGGGAGTAGGCATTCCACCAGGTATGTGTATCAATAAACCAGATTAAAACAAAGAAAAAAGAACTACAGTTTGGACATGTGTTGCAAGTGGGAATTGCACTGTTGGCAGCTAACCCATAGAAGCATCATTTTCCCCACTTTTTTTGCATTGATGTAGATTCAACCATAAACTATCAGGGACAGTCCTCTGTTTGAATACACCTTCTGTCTGAAGGGCTGCCTAATCCAAGCCCAGTTTAAAGATAATGAACTGTTAAACAGTTCACATCAACAGCTAGAATGTGGACAGCACACTCTATAGGCAGGCTGACCAGTCCTCTCATCAGTTTTCCCACCGTGGCGAGATGTCTTTCATATCTAGTTAGACTATGTTGTTGTTCTTTAGTCATTTAGTCATGTCCGACTCTTCATCACCCCATGGACCAGAGCATGCCAGACCCTCCTGTCTTCCACTGCCTCGCGGACTTGGGTCGAATTCATCTTGGTAGCTTCGATGACACTGTACAGCCATCTCATCCTCTGTCGTCCCCTTCTCCTCTTGCCTTCAAACTTTCCCAACATCAGGGTCTTTTCCAGGGAGTCTTCTCTTCTCATGAGATGGCCAAAGTATTGGAGCCTCAGCTTTAGGATCTGTCCTTCCAGTGAGCACTCAGGCTTGATTTCCTTTAGAATGGATAGTATGATCTCCTTTGTAGTTGAGGGGACTCTCAAGAGTCTCCTCCACCACCACAATTCAAAAGCATCAATTCTTTGGCGGTCAGCCTTTTTTATGGTCCAGCTCTCACTTCTGTACATCGCTACAGGAAAAACCATAGCTTTGACTATTCAGACTTTTGTTGGCAAGGTGATGTCCCTGCTTTTTAAGATGCTGTCGAGGTTTGTCATCACTTTCCTCCCAAGAAGCAGGCATATTTTAATTTCGTGGCTGCTGTCACCATCTGCAGTGATCATGGAGCCCAAGAAAGTAAAATCTGTCACTACCTCCATATCTTCCCCTTCTACTTGCCAGGAGATGATGGGACCAGTGGCCATGATCTTAGTTTTTTTGATGTTGAGCTTCAGACCGTTTTTTGCACTCTCCTCTTTCACCCTCATTACAAAGTTCCATAATTCCTTCTCACTCTCTGCCATCAGAGTGGTATCATCTGAGGTTGTTGATATTTCTTCCGGCATTTTTAATTCCAGTTTGGGATTCCTCCAATCTGGCCTTTCGCATGATGTATTCTGCGTGTAAGTTAAATAAGCATGGGGACACTATGCAGCCTCGTTGTACTCCTTTCCCAATTTTGAACCAAACAGTTGTTCCATAGTGAGTTCTAATTGTTGCTTCCTGTCCCACATATAGTTTTCTCAGGAGATGGATAAGGTGGTCAGGCACGCCCATTTCTTTAAGGACTTGCCATAGTTTGTTGTGGTCCACACAATCAAAGGCTTTTGTATAATCAATGAACCAGAAGTAGATGATTTTCTGGAACTCTCTGGCTTTCTCCATAATCCAGCACATGTTAGCAATTTGGTCTCTAGTTCCTGTGCCCCTTCGGAATCCAGCTTGTACTTCTGGGAGTTCTCGGTCCACATACTGTTGAAGCCTACCTTGTATGATTTTGAGCATAACCTTGCTAGCATGTGAAATGAGTGCAATTGTACGATAGTTGGAGCATTCTTTGGTACTGCCCTTCTTTGGGACTGGGATGTAGACTGATCTTTTGGACACTATAGTAGTGTCCAAATATTAATCTGTATGCATTAATTACCATATGCAAATTTTATGCCAAACTGCATGCTCTTTTTTCTTCCTTTTTTGTTCAAGACGCAAATGGCCACCCTACAACAGCATTAGACCTGTACCTTTGCTTGGAGTGGATGAAAGATCATATCATTAGCAGCTCGAGAAGCCCAGACTTCAAACATTTATGTCTTCACTTTTTTAGGGATTTTATATTCTACTTTTCTCCGTGTATCCCACAAACAGTGCACATGCCATTTTGTAAAGGCAGCAGATTATCAAGAGAAATAGCATAAAACCTGAGCCACAGAAATAAACATAAGAAACACGAAGAACTGCAAAAAGTGGCACAATGTGTGCAGGAGAACTCTTCAAAGCAGAAGAAAATGAAATAATTTAAAAAATTATTTTAAAATAATTTTAAAAAAACAATGCAAAAGAGGGGAATAAATTAAAAGACCTTCCAGAGCTACAACCAAGAAAACCTGGCAATGAAGAAGGTGCTTAATGTCACATTGATTGGGATAAGTTTGATTTGTACCAAATTCCCCCTAGCCAATTGTAAAATTCAGGGAAGATCAGATCTCAGGCCATGTAGTCCTTCCAAGTGCCTTACACTGAGTCAAGACCATTGACACATCTAGGCCAGTTTAATCCAATCTCACCGGCATGAGTTTTCCATATTTCAGACAGGATTTTTTCCAAGCCCTGCCTCCAGTTGTTCCCCTATCCAAATAAAAACCATGTTTGGCCATGTTTAGCTTCCAAACTCAGGCAAGACTTGGTGTGTTCAGGATGGCATGGCGAACATATTGAACTCGCCTCACGAGCAAAGCAATTCCCAGTGTGCCAATCTGCATGTGTACTGCGACTAAGCTGACTAGCACCTGTCATTAATTGGGATCATTATCTTTCACTGGCTTGGTGTGAACATACTGTCTCCAGCAGTACGTATTAAAAGAGTCTAATTATCCAAGCTAATATATTCTTAGAATCTGAGACTCTCATAAATGACAGAAAGAATGTGGGTGGGAAAGAACCATGAATATTTGTAATGCAAATATTACAAGCTGAGTATAAATGAAACTGAGATACTGTATTATATATTTCTGCAGTTGGATCATATGTCAGATCTCTAGGCAGGCAGCCAACATCTCAAGATTGTTCTAGAGTGAACTCCGTCTTAACATCTTTACCCAAATACCATTTTCTCCACAAACATTGTGCTTTAGTGAATGTGGGACTATCTCATCTGTGTTTTTTTCCTGTCTTTCTTTAAAGTGGTGTAGTTGAGCAAAAGAGATAAGCTGGAAATCCCCAGTTCATATTTAGCCAGAGTTTGGAAGTGCTCCTTCCAGGGACTTCCGCTCTCAAATTCCCCTTCTCCACCATCAACTACAATGGTAATTCTGGGAAACAAGAGTTCAGGAAAATACAGTGGTGCTTCGCAAGACGAATTTAATTTGTTCTGCGGTTAATGTTGTCTTGCGAAAAAATCATCGTGCGAAATGCGTTTTCCCATAGGAATGCATTGAAATCTAATTAATGCGTTCCTGTGGGCAAAAAAAAGTCAGAACAAAGTCAAATTTGGTTTACAAAGGGTTTATTAAGTGCTCTTTAAAGCCATACATATTGTGCAGATGATTTAAAAAATTTCAATCAAAAAAACTTTTAACTTTTTAAACATCATAGAATAACATTTAAAAATCAGCAAACATGAGGCAGGAACAAAAAACGGGAAATATTCATCTTGCAAAGCACGGCCATAGGAACATTTGTCTTGAGAGTCACGAACCCCCATTGCCAAAACCATTTGTGCAGTTTGTTTGGGAGTTGAGTATTTATGGCTGTGAGATCAGCTGTTGTCCTTTTCACGAGATGGATGATAATGGTGATCAGTGTGTTTTTCACCTTCAGAACACAGCCAAAGAGCCCGAAAAATCCACAAGAACCATTCGATCCCGGCCGTGAAAGCCTTCATGAATACAAATCCGTATTGTGTTTGTTGTTTTGCTTCTCCATTGTCAACTACAGCTTCCAGCATTCTGTAGGCAACATTATGCAAAAATACACATCTATTCACCTCTGTTTCCATATTGTGTTTGTTGTTCTGCTTCTCCATTCTCAACTACAGCTTCCAGCATTTTGTAGGCAACATTATCCAAAAATACACATCTATTCACCTCTGTTTCCTAGCATGCTTGTCTTTCCTGGTTAGTGTTTTCTTCTCATGATATGCCCAAAGTATGATAACCTAAGTTTAGTCATTTTGGCTCCTATAGAGAATCTCTGCATTAGAGCTCTTAATTAGATCTTTCTAGAGGTCCTCATTATCTGTAAAGCTCTCCAAATATCATATATCAAATGACACAGTTTTCCCTCATCAGCGTTCTTCATGGGCCAGCTTTTCCACCTCTACATGCAGATTGTGTTACTGGTCAAGTCTCCTTACAAATGACTAGTAACACCAATGGGGAAGTCTGGTCTGGCTCTTCTGTTTTAGACAGGACTCTTTCCCACTCTATCAGAGGATGCTAAGAATTTGTCTTGGGTCATTTTGAATGTAAAACACATGCTTTACCACGAAGCTATGGTCATTTGTTCTCATCCTCCTCCCTCTCTTCTTCCTTCTCCTCCTTCTTCATAAAAAAAATAGGCTTAAAAACAGCTTGGGTTGTGCTGCTGCTTAGCAAAGCCTAGAACCAAAAGCTGAAAGAGGAGGTAGTGCAGATAGTGTAACCAAGTTTTCCTTTTCCAGAAGGAAAGACTTTATAATCTACATTGCTTAATTATTGTCAATTTCCACTTCCTCCAGAATCACACATTTTTGGAGGAGGAATTCCCCGTTTTGCAGTGACACTTCCAAAGCTTTTACACACCGTCTTTAAAGCAAAGGAGTCAGTCCAGTTAGTAGTCCCAAACAGAGTAGACGTGTTAGCTGAAATCTGGTCCATCTTCACATAACATAAAGTTATGGTAGCATAAGCCTAGCAGACATTCCACCCAGGTAGTCTGGATTGCCTAATTAGATTGCACAAACCTTGTTTGAAGTTTTTTAGTTGTAACGAAGGAGTCAAGCAAAAGGATCAAGAAAGCAAAAGCTGTAGCTGGTTTTCCAAAGGGGGGATTTGATTATTAGGGGATTTGGTGGCTGAGCCAAGCAAGGGTATGAAGGGAAGGCGTATGTTTTTTGGGTGCAGGTGTGAATGTGTGTGCTTTCATGTGCCTGGTCTCTCCTGGGTGACCATGCTGGAAGACAGAGAGGGTTAGCCACCTTCATGGCTTTCATAAGCCTTTCAGAAATACTAAAAAGGGCAGGGTGGTGGCAGAGAAAACAACAACAGATCAGTGGAACAGGACAAAATAAAAGATAGCCTGGCTGCGGAGGAAGCCTGTTTCTTTGCTCTCTGAACCATGAAAGCCTGTTTTCCCCACTGTGCTTTCAGAAGTGTGTTGTGGATAGCACCTCAACCTTGATTCAGTTGTAGCTAGCATGAGCATAATGTTAAGTTATGCCTATGTAGCTACTCAACAGGATTTCAGCCATTGAATCAACAAGATTTATATAAATGTTGACTCAACACCCAACATCTGATTCAGTGGATCTGCTTTATCTATGTGTACCATTTGGATTTAGATAAAACCCTGTTTGTATTACCTTTTGTGAATATATCTATATACAGTAATTTTTAAAAAATAAATAATTTCTAATTTCTGCATGGCTGCCTGAGGATAGGATTGAAATTGCTTGTAGCTTTTTATTTGTCCATCTGTTGCTGATGGTCTGCCATAGGGCATTCCTGCCATTTGTGTCTAGATTTGCATAGGGAAAACTATCCTTTTGTTCATCTGTAAAAACGAAACAAACCAGAAACCTCTCTTTTGGGGCACCAACGTAAAGATAACAGAGTATGTGAGTTAGATATCAAGGCAAAAATTGAATAAGGAATAATTGGGGAGAGAGAAAGGTGTTACAAAGGTTGGTTTGAGTATTTATAGTAAAAAAACATATAAATTACAAAATACTTTTCAAAATGGTAAGTGAACTACAAATGGTAAGCAAATCATATATAATAGTAAATACTAAGACATAAACTTGTTTATTATCAACATTAATGTCCCACATTCCTATTAGATATTAAGGCAAACTACAGCAGCATTTTAAAACATAGAATCAGGAATTTCAAATAATGAAGAAAGTAGTAAATAAAACAACAAAACCATAGGGCATACTGTAGTACTACAGTAAAACATATGGTCTGTGGCCATGGCAGGACCGGGCCGCAAAGATAGATCTCCTCTCCCCCGCATGCACTCCCCCACCTGCACTCACAGCCCGCCCACCCGTGAGCATGCCCCACCCATCCGCAAGCATGCCCTGCCTATCCACACATGCGCGCGGGGGGGGGTGCCCAGTGCCCCCATGCACAGACCTGCCCCCCAACTGCTCCCCAGTTCAGAAATGCCTGGGGACCACTGAACTAAATGATTTCTGAAAAAGAGAGGTTTGACAGTCTTCTATAAATTGAAGCAGAGTTATGGATCTTCACACTGTTGTGTTCAGTCCTAACTCAAATATGTGCTTACCTGTAGGGATTTGGAACAGGCAGAGGCTTTTTTTTTCTCTTGCAACAGCTGCTGTTACACTGACAGAACCTTCTTTTGCACTGCTCTGCCAGCTATTGTTTGTTTGATACCTTTCTCCCAAAGGATCAAAAGTGGCTTACAGCATATGGAAGAAATAAAGTGAAAGCCAAATAAAAAAATAATTCTTCCAAGAATAAAAAGAAAAAGCATCAAACAACTATCATGTTAATATCTGATTCCAGAAGAGCCAAAAAGAAAAGGAAAGGGAAATAAGAAGTAGTGGAGAAGAGGCAAAGTGTGGGAGAAGCCGAGTTATGCTAGATCCAAACGTCCTCCAGCCTATGGCCGCAGCCACTGTGTTGACACAGAGTTTAAACCCAAGTGGAGGTAGTCCTAAATTTAATCTATCAGGGCAGGAGGGGCTTGGATTCAGCATGGTTTCAAATTGCCTACTGTAAACTCTCCTGGCTTCTGGTCATCTTAGTTGGTTAGGATTGCATTCTTAGGCAGAAAGCTTATGTATCCTTGATAGCAAAAAGCAGAGCAAGAACATTAGTTGTTGTGAATGTTGTTTAATTTCGCCACTTCTAAAACTCTTGGCCTGTGAAAAAGCACTGTCTGTTCACGTTCAGGGCAGTACGAAATACCTCAGGTTCTCAAGAGCTGTTGTGCAAATCTTCTTCTTTTAAAAAAAAATCTGGGCTTAAGACGTAATCTTTTCTGTTCTCAGGTTGATAACATTTCAGTTTTCTTTGAATAGGATTCTGGGATTCTTCGTTAAACCAAAAGCGACGAGAGAGGCTTCCCCATTCTGCGGAAGGCCCTGCTTTCACCACAGCCCAGGTCAAAAAAGTAAAAAACTCTACCCAGTGTTTTGCAAGCGGCACAAGCAACTGTTCATGTGAAACTGAGCTGTCAGTAGGAAATGACAGGCTGTGGTTTGTGAATCCTATTTTTGTAGAAGAGAGAAGCGGACAGTTTCCCCCAAATGCTCCTCCTCCTCCTCCTCCTCCTCACAACTGCAGGAAGACTTCTTCTTTTATTGGGGATACTGTGAAAATACCTCCAAAGACATCTCCAAGCCGCCGCCCCCCTCCTCCGCCCCCACCACTTCTACATACTCTGAAGCAATCTAAGAAATTTTCCATGACCACCTCTGAAGACAACCACACTCAAGCCCTGGAGAAGAACAAAAAGGAGATGAGGACTGAGATTAGCAGTAACAATGAGTCAGATGGGCAAACAAGCGTACCTCCTGGTGACCCTTCCCTACCCAATTCTAAGAAGAAGATTCCTCCTTCCATTCCACCAAGGAGGAGTTTGACTGAAAGACCTTCAGGAAAGACCTGCTGTGATAAATCTGGGCAAGCTCCAGGGCCAGGAGGAGAACAACAGACAGCCAAGCAGAGTGTTGGGAGGGCAAGTAGTGTGAATAATCTCCAGTGCTTTGAAGATCCAGAGGTGTTTGAACCAGTTATAGATGAAACCCCCTCAGAAGAGCAAGAAGGAAGGCCCGGGGCTGAGCATAAGAAAAAGCCAGTTGAGCTGCAGAGGAAACTGCCAGAGAAACCAATGGGACCTCCAGTCCCACCCCCAAGAAAGAAGAGGCTTTCTCGACAGCCATCATCTGCCAGCTCTGTTCATTCAAAGCATGTCACCATTGAAGAGACAGAAGTGCTCCATTCACAGGAAAACATGCACCCTGGGGGGAAAACCTGCTCCGACGCAAAAAAGGAATCCAATTCTGGCGTTAAACTTGTCAGCGCTACAGATTGTGGAGGTTCTCATGACTCACTGCATTGCCCTGTAACAACGCCTGCTTCTGAACCTGATTCTTATTCGACCAGCAGCACTGAGGATGAGCTGGAGTCAGTGACCAGCCCTTCGGTCAAGAAGACCCATTCCATGATCTTATGCAGGGCCAAGAGCCGGCTCTCTATGGTCAGCCTAAGTCATGTCTTCACAGCTTTCTTGTCTGCTGACAGAAAGCTCCAAAAAAAGATTGTGGAGTTGGCCCAGGACAAGGATTCATACTTTGGCAACTTGGTGCAGGACTATAAAGTATACAGCCTGGAGATGATGGCCAAGCAGAACTCTAGCACTGAGATGCTCCAGGAGATCCGCTTAATGATGACACAACTCAAGAGCTACTTGATCCAAAGCATGGAGCTCAAATCCTTTGTGGACCAGACTGTCCACACAGATGAGCAACTAGGTGAGTGCTTGCATTTCTACTCTTCTTTTGGCAAGGCCGGTCTAAGACATTTTGCTTAGAGTTGGGAAAGTTGACTTTTTTGACCTTCAAATGCCAGTTCTGGGATTCTTTTGTGTGTATTTTTACGGGGTGGGTGGGTTTCAGTTTACTGTGGCTCTGTTTCCCACAAAATCTGTTCATTCTTTCTTTGACTCTTCCTTGAAGCACTGAGAAAGTCTCATACAAAAATGATACCATGGATGGACTAGGTAGATAGAGCAGCTAGGCTGAAAAGTGAGAAAGTAGTCTTTGTGAGCAATTGTACTGATGCTTCAAACCCCTGGTGGGAGATGCTCACTTAGATGAGTCTTCTACATGTTGGTACACCAAAGGTTGCTGTGTATGTATTAAGTCAATCCAAAGGGTGGGATCCAGACATTTCTTCATTCTATTACTACCATTTAGATGAGTCTTCTACCATGTGTACATTGTTGGTATACCAAAGGTTGCTGTGTACGTATTAAGTCAGTCCAAAGGCTGAGATCCAGACATTTCTTCATTCTATTACTACTATGTCTGGTGTGTTATGTTCAAGGTGTCTATCAGTTTGGATCCAGAAATCCCACAGGATCTTGACTTCTTCATTTTCTGATATCTTCTCTACCTAATGTTCCCACTGGTTTTTGGAGGCCGGCAAGTTATATGTTTTGCATAATAACCAGTGCACTAAATTTGCCACTCTATCATGTCTGATTTTGTAATCTGTACATGCAGTCTTGGGACATTCACAGATGAGGTGCCACACTTTTAAAATCCTAAACTCTTTTAGGGCTTTAAAAGTCAGCATAACAACATATTCATGTTATTGTTTGTTGTTGCTTTTTCTCAACATTGGTGGCACTTGGAAGTGGATCAAAGAGTCAAGGGTAAAAATTGTAGTCATGTCATCATGAGATGACATAACTACAAAATCACTGATTGTTGGATTTCAGGGAGCAAATTAGCAACTGTGATGATGATTATGATGAATTACATTCATACCACACCTTTCCAGGAAAAGATAGTGCTCAAAACAGCTTACAAACTTTTGAAAAATAGTAAAAACAGACAAAACCACATTTAGCGAAAATATTAATAAAATCTTGTGAACTTGCCCTACTGTACAAGTATAAAAATTAAGCATTAAAATTGCAAAAGATAACATTAAAAACAAAGCAACAGGACAGGTTAAACATCAGATGCCTACCCACACAGGCAGGAGTTCGCCCCATTCATTCATTGAAAAAAGAATTAATCTCCATTTTATTAACAGCAGAAAGATTAATGATAGCAAATTAAAAGGGAAAGGAAAGCATGATTTTCAAATAATTGAATGGTATAATGAGATCTGGAATATAGCAATTAATGATAAGTTAACATGTGATATTAAGTTAAAGAAAGGACTGGTGAATAAAAACATATTTAATGATATATAGGGAAATCACATAGACTTTGTATTAATAAAAGGGAAAGTTCAATTATCTACACAAGAAACACTACAATTTTGGAGGGAATAAGGGCCCCTCAAATAATGATAATATCAGAAGTATCCATATTGGTCCCAGTGATGGGGTGCACCAGGTTTTAATTTGCATAAATGTTAATCGCTATACAGTATTTTGTTTCATATGTTATGTATTTGAAACATATTTTCAAAAAGAAAAAGAAAAATGTTTTCTTTTTCCTTCTCCCCTCACCCTCTATACACACATGCGTGCACACACACACACACACAAACACACACGGAGAGACAGACAGACAGACAGACAGACAGATGGAAAGGGAGAGGGAGAACTAGGAGTTCAGCAAGAAGGAAACAATATGAGACCCTGAACATTTCTGGGAACAAGAAATGGCAGGAGTGGATTAGTTTAGCATAGTCTGAACATGAAGTAGGGCAATGTCCCAAGAGTTCTAATGGACCAGTCTCCATTGAACAAATAACGGGACAGTGTAGGATCGTGGTAGAGACCTAATCTTTCAATGACCTCATCCAGAACAGACCAACCCCTGCAATACTGGACTATATTTCTAGGTATCTAGCTTCTTTTGAAGACTTAAAAGCAGAACTAGAGAAAGAAAAAGTTGACAGTCTTGCGTATTTGGAAATGAATGGTTCATTTTCCTAAATCTTAAACAACCACTACATTCTTCCAAATAGCAAGCTGGTGAATGGACTAAAAATAAAGGCTAGAGATGGGCACAGACTGCTGATACCAGTTCAGCAGCTGACTGAACAGGTGTTCTGTGCTTTGGTGCCCCTCACCCTCTGGCAGGTGCCCACTCAAAGGCAGCACCCAGAGGAGTCTAATAAAGACTCATCAAGTTTGATTACGTTATTTAAGCTGGAATGGATGATATGAAAAGTAGTGTGCTATTGAGTCCTATCTCATGAGAACACTAGACTCCCCGGAAAAGACACTGATGTTGGGAAAGTGTGAAGGCAAGAGGAGAAGGGGACGACAGATGATGAGATGGTTGGACAGTGTCATCGAAGCTACCAACATGAATTTGACCCAACTCTGGGAGGCAGTGGAAGACAGGAAGGCCTGTCGTGCTCTGGTCCATGGGGTCACAAAGAGTCGGGCACCTCTTAACGACTAAACAGCAACAACAATTGAGTTCTAATGAACTCATGGAAGCGTTCTTTTAAGGAAACATTCTTCAGTGTCCATAAATCTGTTAGCATGGCCTCCAGAGCGAGATTGGAAAAGTCATTTTTATAGACTACAACCCATGCTGATTGGCAGATTCTGGGAGTGCTCGTGAAAATAATAATAATAATCATTTGACCACGCTCGGGACAAAGCACTGGTGTGAGTTAGCAGCTCTGTAGAAAGAGAATTTTTTTCATGAAAGCAACAACTTAAGTTAGCATGAATTAGATCTGTGAGAGGAGAGGAAAATTACTCCAGGAGCTTGATTGCAATCATTGCACTTGTACAAGTTTTCCTTCAAAGCAGGTGCTTTTCATGTATTTCAGTGTTTATCCCCTGTGATTCCATTGCTAAGAAACAAAGCAGGAACACTGGGCACAGTGAAATATAAATTTAGGTCTACTTAAGCTCCTGTAGAGTTCACAGCATGAGAAGGTGTGATGCAATTACCTGTTCTTTTGCAAGTTTGGTGGGAAGATGGTTTTTTTTAGGAGGATTGTTTTACTTGCTGTTACTCACTTGCTGGGTGTTAAGCAACCATTAGGCAACAGCCTCCATAGGGTCTGAACAGGAATAGCCTGATGCAGAATATGTTGTTTGACGGAACTGAATGTGTATGGATAGGATCCAGGCGCATTGTGGAGACTGGTATTCAGCAGAGCTGTAGGAGCCAAATCAACCAGTTAGCCTCATAAGGAAATGAATAGGTCGCTTCCTCTAGTATCAGCCCCGGTTGATTATCTTTCTTTCTCCACACTCATGTTGACGACATTTCCTCCTGGATGCCTTTTAAAATGACACGTCTTAGGTTTCCTTCCTAAAATGCTTCACTTTCCCACTGTGTAGCACTTTCTGAGAAATCAAGCATTTCCCAAAAGCAAATTGTATTGGTTTTTATCTCCAACTGTGCTTTCTATCTCATGTCCACACCGTGTGCCCCTGTTTTCCCCTACAACATTTTCACAATCGATGGTTTCCTCTGTATCAGCTGTTTAAAAAAATACAAAAACAAAACATCTCCATACTGTTGAAAATCTTTCACTACATTGCAGAAAGGTTCTGGCCTGCTTTCTTGTCATGATCAGCCATTCTAGTTAATTTAGTAAAGCTTTGTTTTAACCACTGGCAGATTATGAGAGGAATGACATTCGAGCTTCACAAACTAGGGAGGTGAGATGCTCTAGCTAGACCTCTTTTCCTCTTCTTCCCTGTATATGAAGAAACAGATTTTAATCCACCAAAGGTCTCACTGAAACAAATTTGTTAGTGTGGGTTTTTTGGGCTGCTTGGCCATATTCTGAAGGTTTTTCTTCCTAATCTTCAGAGGACAGAACTCTGTCTGTGTTCTGGTGTAGTATAGTTCAGTATTTGAAAAGACCGGTGAAACATTAGAAAGAAAAACCTCCAGAACATGGCCAAACAGCCTGAAAAACCTACAGCCATTCTCTGCACTTATTCCTGGTGTCTTCCTGTGTACCTTACTATGCTGGAACTTCTGGTCGAAACCTTTGTAAGGAGAAAAGCTTCTGCTGTGATTTTAAACTGCTAACAAGTCAACCCTTATCACTTACCATGAAAGCAAATACAATGGTGCCTCGCTTTACGATCACTTTACCTCCCTGCAAATTGCAATCGCAAATCAATGGTCTGAATGGGGAAATTTTGCTTTGCGATGATCGGTTTCCTGCTTCAGGAACCGATTCTTCACAAAATGACGTTTTTCGAACAGCTGT